AATGGACGCAGGAAAAGTACACTAAGAAGACCCATTAGGATTGAACTGGAGGACGAAAAAGCCAAATGCGAATTCCAGAAACAACTGAGTTCACATCTAGGCAGTTCTATAAACGAGACTGACCCAGATGCTGCTTGGAAAGACACACGAACAGCTGTGGAAACAGCAGTCACATCTATTAGTTATTTAAATCATAGGGTTCCAAAAAACCAGTGGATTTCTTCTAAGTCCATTTCACTGATGGATTCGCGTAAACTCATCCCATCAGGCTCTGAACACGACGAAGAGCGTAAACAAATTAGATCTAGGTTAACTAAAAGTCTAAGGAACGATCGTGAGTAGTGGTAGGCAACGAAAGCAAAAGAGATGGAAAAGGCAGCTGCTGTAGGCAACTATTCAGACCAATAAAAGAAACCGGAATTAAGAAGTCAAGTGTAAGTGAGACAATCTCGGAAAAAGACGAAACCCTTATCTGCTTTCAACCCAAACGTTTAGAACGATGGGCGGAACACTTTAAGAAGCAATTTAGCTGGCCTTCAGCTACTGCACAACTACCCACTATTCCCAGAAAACCTGAATGGAACATTGAAGTAGGCCCCCCGACCCTACTTGAAGTTCAAAAGGCTATAACTAATCTGAAACGAGGAAGAGCAGCTGGTCCTGATGGATTGGTTCCAGAGGTCAGAGCTTATCTTAAAATGTCATTGGACTTGACGAATTCAAGCGCTGTCTTTTCGTCATCTCCGCCTATGCCCCGACGGATTGCAGCCCGGATGCAATCAACGATGAGTTTTACCACCAGTTAACAGTTCTTCTCCAGAAAGCGCGTTCGACAAATATTGTAGTATTAGCCGGAGACTTGAATGCTCAGGTCGGGCGTCTAGGCACAGAAGAGAGTCGTTTAGGTGGCCGATGGGGACTTGTTGGTCGCAGGACAGATAACGGGGACCGTTTGCTGAAACTGTGCACAGACCACAATCTGTTTCTGGCTAGCACTAACTTCTGGCACAGTCATCGCCGGTGTGCCACCTGGCGTCCTCCCTTTGCATCTCAAGCCTGAACTCAGAGTGATCACATCGCGATCAGCTACCGCTGGCGTGGTTGTGTACAAGACTGCCGCTCCTTTTGGAGTACTTATCTGAAGTCTGATCATGCCCTGGTCTGCGCCAATCTCACCTTACTTTCAGTGGCCGAAGGATTGACCACCACCAACGGATCGATGTTAGTAAACTGGCTGCAACATCTGTTGCAAGTAAGTATCGAGCAGAGCTAGCCTTTAGGTTAGCTACCATCCCACCGAAAAGTATAGATGAGCATTGGTTGCATCTTCACGACGCCATGAAAATGGCGAGTAAAGCCGCTTGCGGCTTCGCGAAACGTCCCGCTTACAAGCATTGGGTTTCTTCTGGCTCCTTACAACTGATGGAAGCCCGTCGGTCTACACCGGGTAACCGTGAGTTTGACCACAAACGAAGGCTGTTACGTAGTGAAATCGGGCAAAGCTTGCGTAAAGACCGAGAAGCCTGGTGGTCGGAGCGTGCTAATGAGATGGAAGCAGCAGCTGCATCTGGTGACTGCCGGAAGCTCTTCCAACTCATTCGAGCCACTGGCAGCAAGAAGTCTGGTGTGAGTGAAACAATCTACGAGGATGACGGGATGCCAATCACTAACATCTCTCGACGTCTTGGACGATGGGCGGAATTTTTCGAAGGGCAGTTCAACTGGCCTGCTGCTCCGGCAACATCAACCAGTTTGCCCAGCCCCCCATGACCGGTGACGATTGATCCACCAAACGAGGCGGAAGTCCGCAAGGAACTCCAACTCTTGAAACGTTACAAATCACCCGGCCGAGATGGCTTACCTCCGGCTCTTTCTAAAGATGGTGGTGACTTTCTGACTAAGGAACTGACGGTGTTGTTTGCAAAGGTTTGGGAGCTAGAAAGTGTTCCAACATCATGGAATGAGTCGATAGTCGTCCCTATCTTCAAAAACGGTTCACGTTGTTCTTGTAACAACTATTGGGGGATAAGTCTACTTCGGATTGCGTCCAAACTATTGGCTTCTGTCATTCTTCGTAGGTTGTTTAAAACCCGAGAACGATTGACTCGCGAAGAGCAGGCTGGTTTTCGTTCTGGTCGAGGATGCATTGATCACATCTTCACCCTCCGCCAAATGTTAGGACATCGTCATACTTATCGCAGGCCAACAATCGTAGTGTTTCTTGATATCAGGGCTGCCTTAGATTCGTTGGACAGGACTATTCTCTGGGATTGTCTATTAAAGAAGGGTGTGCCTGAGAAGTTCATTAACATCTTAAAGGCCCTGTATACGAACACCTTAGGCAGAGTGAGGGCATACAACCACCTTTCTCCCTTGTTCCATTCGAGCAGCGGGGTTAGGCAGGGTTGCCCAATCTCACCATTCCTCTTCAACTTTGCCATCGACGACATCCTGGAAACAGCTCTGACGGATGTAAGTAATGGCGGTGTGTATCTGCTGCCTGAAGAACGACTTCTCGACCTCGAGTATGCGGATGATATTGTCTTACTGTGCGATAATGCCCAAGGCATGCTGTTATGTAGTAGCGAAGACATAAGTACGGGTAACTAGATTATCTATATCTATATTCATCTTATTGTAAGCTTCATTTTGACCTATTGATTATTATTGTATGATTTACTGTTCCTAAGTTATGCTCAGTTTTATTGATTATTGTCTCCCACGCTTACAGCCTCATTTGGCCTGGTTTTGTACAAATATTATTTTCTATTTTATGGTGTGGTCTGCCTGTCTGGTATATAGATAAAGTATGTTTGAAACAGACGATTCGCATTACAGCAGCTGCTATTGGTGTTTTGGACTCAAGTGGACGAATTAGGCGGATAAGGGCCAATAAGGACGCTAGATTACTCATACTAATCGAACGTCATTGTCACAGTATGAAGGTCGTAGAATTCGTATTCTATTGGTAGACAATTTACGCGAATTACGTCCTTGTTAAATTCGAAGGTCATAACGAATCAACGACGACCTCGATCCAGTCATAACAATTGGCTACCGCCTAGGTCAAAAAACATAACAAATTGGCGACGGCTAGGTCAAGTCATAACACATGCAATCCGCACTTAATCAGTTGGCAATCAGTGTCCGCAGGTACGGCATGTGCTTTCTACCCTCCAAGTGCAAAGTACATGGTGACAACACCATGTTAGTAATGCAGAGGTTCGGCATCGTGTGTTCGGGCGCAGAGACGATAATCCAATTGGTGTCACCATCTTGAAACACCGACTTCGGTGGCTCGGACATGTTCTACGAATGTCGTCCCAGAGACTTCCACGTCGTGCATTATTTGCCGACTCTGGGACTGGTTGGAAAAAGCGGAGAGAAGGTCAGTGTATGACATGGTGTCGTGGTATGAAAGAAAGCTGCAAAGAGCTAGCTTCTGTTGGTCCTTAACGACTCCCTGGCTGGGGCCCGAGAAATGGTGTAACACAGTGGCTAGAGACGTTATCAGATATGGCTCAGAATAGAAGCCAGTGGCGTGCCTGCTGTAACCTTCTTTTACTTTCTTCATAAAGAGTGGTTCTAACTTTCTTAACCGAAAGCGTCTTCTGGTTGTACATTTCAGTCCGCCTTATCTTTTCATCCCTTCTCTTCCTATTTTCATTATTTTGTGTGGCGCATATGTATCTGGTGCCCTTTTGTACCAATATATATGTGTTTAAATAAAATAAATAATCTTCAGACTTGTCAATGTTTTTCATCTTAATTCATATTTACCGTTGACATGCTTTTAGAGGTACCACATTTATCATCCAACATCTCAGGAATTGATCTACGAGGACTCCGAATACACAGATGAGATGGTTCTAATTAGCGAAAACAACGGAAAGATGTCATTTGGTCACCATAGGCAACGAGCGGAGCATATTTAGTACGCATTCCTCTCCCTCCAAACACAAAATTTTGCTTCAAGACACGTTTTTTGACGAAACCCACTGCTTATTTCGACGCACAACGATGGGTGTAGGGGGGTGAAATAAGACTATGGGTGGTCAAGCCTTAGTGTGACATCGACCATGGAGACAGACTGTGGGACAGAGTTATGCCAGTAGGTGTAGACTACCTGGTTTGGTCCTATGCAATTATTGTAAGCAATGAAGAGACTATTTGTCATGGATGAGTCATTCGTATTGACGCACGTGCACTATCATCATTCAGTTAGAAAGTTTTTATTTCCCGTATTTATATCGCTTATCATAACTTTATATTTCAACCGTATCTCTGATGCGTCATGCTTTTCTTTTACCACTACTACCGTTAGTATATCGGAATGAGCTCCGGTAATTTTATATCGCTTGTCCACTGAGGTGCGGCGGCTTGAACCTGTTTATAGAAGTGCCAGATTCTACGTTACGTATGACACTTGAATATTGGATACGCTTACCTCAACATGAACATATAACACCGATCGGAGTAACAGGTATCACAATAAATTTAAACGATAATTATTTAGAGGTGGTGAATCTCAACATCAGGATCAGAAGCAATCGGTAATATCGAACTCATTCTAGCAAAGTACAAATCAATCGGCATCTCTTTTCCGGTTCATAAGTATTAGGCAACCAGATACTAAAATAAAAAGATGTGGTAACATCAAGCGACATGCGTTAAGCCAATTCAGGGCTTTAGTGCTTGCAGCTGTATATAGAAAACTGTAATCGCTAGGGTGTTTGTAGTAAACTATTCTTGATTTAGTAATAATACGAAAGCAGTAAAATGACTACGTAATGAAGTGTAGTGAGCATCACATATGCAATCATTCGGATACGATGTTGTTACTCTAAAGCCAAACAGTAAACAACTTATCCAATGTCTTATATTAAAAGAAAAACGCAAATAGTAGAAAAAATTAACGAAACACGTAATCGCACACGGAGGTAAGGATTAAAAAGAAAGTCAACACAAAAAGTTATACATATGAATCCTATTCGTTAGTGCTAGAGACATTCCAATATTGAATCTATTCTGTAGATTATATCAGCTTTCTTAGAACATAAATCGTCATTTGAGGACTGATATTGTGCTTTTGTCAACTTGCCAGTGAGAAGTTTTTCTGCCAGTTGGATACCTTCTTGAATTAAATCACGATACTGTTGATCCAAATGACTGATGTCATTCAACTAGAAAAATAAATATGACAGTTTTAATTTATAACCTGAAACCCAGATATAACAAGTAAATCAATAACAAAACGATTGATTCAACTTATGGTAAATAATTTATTTACATAAAAATGACACATTGCAGCATTGGGAAATATCATCATTAACAAAGACATAGACAAGTACGTTAGCTGAAGATGCTACATCACATAAACAAAACGTGAAACTAACCAGTTGAAACAAAAAGTATTAATGAAAATGAGGAAAATTAAGCATTGGCGAATACTTTTAAGAGAAGGAATGAACTTGATACAGAGAATGTACGGATAAGTCTAAACACACTACTCTTAATACTTAAAGTCACTGAATAGAAGCAAAGTGGGACTACTTATTACTTTACGGGTATGGAATAGCTACTAATTATTCCTAGCTCTATTTGGAGTGATGAATTCGTTTTACCAGAAACTAAACAAAAACTAGCTTGAATCCTGATAGAAACGTTCTAATGACATAACCCACTCACTTCGATAAATAGGGCTTTTTACTCAACACTACATTATGTAACTAATCGATTGGAAATTTATTTTAAGGAAAGAGATGCACTTTTTAATTAAAACCGGTAATGATTTGTGAATTCTTGATTACTTCAAGAGAACAGAGCAGGTTTACTGAGCTTCACACAAAAATGTCTTGACACAGTCTACATTGGACTTAATTTTTCGTTTCAAAATGACATCATTCAGTTACCCTTAGACAGTCAGTGTTGGATAGGTTCTGTTCACTGACTTCTTAAAGAAAGGTTTGTTGTTTACAAAATTGAGAGGATAAAAAGCGAATGTTGTAGCGCTAAAACTGTGTTAGTAGATACGAATGATCCACATACGGGTGTTGGAAAACTATGATCCTACACCAACAGTGCATATAGGCTCTCGAATCGGAGCGATCAAATGGGTTACCAGCTACCACGGAACTGCATCTCCTAACATTGCTCCACAGCTTTGTGGACTAGACCTTTAGGTCAAAGGCTCAAGGAGTGCTCGTCTGAGAAAACCAACCTGGCAACCAGACAGTATCCTTGCCTACACAAAACTAACAAAATGACTAAAATGAAGAAAATGATTTTATTCACACTCGCTATCTACATAAACAACTGTTGCAAGTACTTAGTTACACATAGACTTAATTTGAACTTTCTTTTCATTACCATTCTGCTTACTTTTATTTTTCGGCAGTCACCACCGATGTACTACCTGACGTCCTCCTTTTGGATCTCAAGCATGGAGTTACTTTTCAGTAGTCAGCAAACCATCCTAAAAAAGTCGATGCAAGCCAATTTGGTTACAGCTACTGTTGTAGCCAAGTTTCAAACATAGCTAGGTTCGAAGCTAGCTTTTAACCCACCGAAAAGTATTGATGGGCATTGGCTGCATTTGCATAACGCCATGGAAATGATGAGAAAAATCACCTGCGGCTTCGTGAAACATCCCACTTATAAGCATTGAGCTTATATAGGCTTCTAACAACTCATTGTGGCATGTCGGTCTATTTCGGCTAGCTGTGCGTTCGGAGGTAAACGTAGATTCTTCAGTAGTGAAATTGTGAGAAGTTTGAGTAAGGATCAAGAAGCCTGGTGGTGGTGTAAGTACGCTAACAATTTAGACGCAACACTTGACGACTGGCTTTCCAACGTCTCGGAATGACACAATAGTTTTCCCTATCTTTGAAAAGGGTTCATGTCATATATGCAACAAGTATAGAGGGTAAAGTCTACTTCCAATTGCGTCCAAACGTGTGGTTCCCATCATAATTTACAGATTGTTCAAAACTCGGGAGATTGATTCGCAAGGAGCAGGCTATTTTTCGTTCTGCTAGAGGATACATTGAGCATATCTTCACTCTCCATCAAATGTCAGAACACTGCCATACTTGTTGCAGGTCCAAGTCATGCAATCCGTGTTCAATCAGTGTCTGTAAGTATAGCATTCGCTTTGCACCTTCCGAGTGCAAAGCGCTTTTGAAAGACTTGCAGCATCCTTTATCTGCACTCACTCTTGGTAATGAGCAGTTTAGCGTTATCGGGAGGTTCGTGTATCTGGGCAGCTGCGTAAATGCTGATGGTGACATGTTATAAGATCGATTCACTTGTAGTGAAAGCCATGGCAGTCTATGCCAATCTAGTCTACCTTTTGCACCTTCATGATGTCAGTCTGGCTGTAAAACGTCGGATCTATGATGCGTCTGCGAGCAGATTTGCTTCATGTTAGTGAAACTTCGAGTTGAAGATGTTAAGCTAATCTGTGTGTTTGATCATTGTTGACTTGAGATTTTATCAGACATGACTAAGAGTAGGAGCCAGAGGTGGTCCTACTGTAATTTCCACTTTCTTCATATAAGTAAGAGTAACTTTTTTAACTGAAATGATTCTTTTGATTGTATTTTTCTTAACTGAACTACTTCAACAATTATTCATCAATCTCAATGAATTACACTTATTAATTGTTAGCGAACTTTGCACACATCTTTCATTGTTTTTTTTGTGTTGCCCATACATATTTCTCCTTTTGTACCAACAATCGTTTAGATAAACAGATATCATATGCAGTGAAGAACGCCCAAAATTATGTATATTACAAATCTCGACGTTCGTCGGCCTCATTACTTAGTGTATGGACTAAGATAACACAATTTAGTGACCATGTGTCGAATAGGTAACCAAATAAAGTAAAAATCCAGTCATATTCCCTTACACATTTGAAGTTGGAGTAAGCTAAGTTTTAAACTTTAAGGTAAGAATAATTAACAACCAAAAACAAAAATATATATACTACGAAGCCTACTTTATCTACTCCGTCCGGGTACAAATCTCCTATTTTATTTTGAACTGACATTAACTGTTGATTTAGACTTTTATATTCCGCTTCTAATTTACGACGATCAGTTGTGAATTGTGCGTTATCTTTAGACGCTTTATATTTTGTCAGGGTATCTTCGTAAGAGTGATAGAAAGAAGAACGACATCTTAGCAAGGCTTGAGCTTCATCTACTAGCGTTTGTGTTCGAAGGCGAAGTTCATTTTTCTCATCCTTTAGTAAAAGAGAAAAAGGTTCATTAGACTAAAATTGCATTCAAGACAGTTAGGTAAGTATTCGGTCAGAAACATTGGATTTCTATACATGTTGAAATTTCAAGGATCACATATCAGTCAGTGGGGAATTTGTGCAGTCAAAAAAAGCATCCGTAGAGAATAAGTTCCAACCAATTAAATAGTAAAGCTTGAGCTATGTGAATATCAACTAATCAGTTCCAAACTTACAGACTTGAGAAGTCTAATGGAACTACCAATCCATTAAAATATCTTAGATATGTTTAAAGTGTATTTTAGACGTGTCTAATAAGGACAAATGGATTTTTATGTGCTTTCTAGATATGGAAGGTAGAAAAAGCGTTTATTAGTTTTACTCATAATTCGTAAAAATATCTCTGCGAAAGCGAAAATGGTACAAATGATAATAAGGTAGCCAAAACAAGGTTCAGCTACTAGCTGAGTTACAAAAAAGGCGATGAATAGTGTGTACAACAACCACAAGTCAAAACACGAGTACGATACTACGAATTGTTTTTTGATCAATAGACCACGGCTATAAAAGAGGTGAATAGTGACAATGGAAAATACTGGCAATCACAGTTTAAATAACGATAAGAAACAAAATATAGGTAAAAGCGAAGACAACTAGTCAGTCCAAGCGGACGCTGCACTAATTTAATGGCATTGAATCTAAACAAGGCATATTGTTGACCAGTAGGCCTAAACTTTGTTGGTTGACTTATCTTGTTGGAATTTTGTCGGGATGCATCTTTAACTTTTTCCGAGCTGCAATCAGTGGGAGTGTAGGGAAAATAGCTCGGTTGAGTCATCACGATAAGCAAGCCCGCTCATAGCGTCAAGGTAGCAGCTACAGTAGGGAATGCTCAAGAGAAATTAACCAGAGTTCCCCCATCGTCTCGATTCTACGTTCTGATGAATACTTACCAGATACTCAGTCAGCAAGTGGATGCCATTAAGACAAGGTCGTCGAGACTTAAAAAGTACTTGTAAGGACCTGTTACCTTTATTCGCAATTTTACACAAATGCACCACTTCGTTTATGATCATAAAATAACTAGCCGGGAAAAATACAAGGTGCCTAGAAAATAGCAAATTTGTGATATCTAAAACTTTCGTATTTGTTAAATTATTAAAAGGATAACTACAACATGGAAGCGAAAAAATTTTGAAAGAAAATTACCTTATAGATTGAAAAATCTAAGCGAACATAAATTATTACAGCGCCGAACATGCATAAAAACGCTAAGACAAGCATCATAGGTTCTCGGAGGATCATTGGCAGGACGAAGCGATAATTCACCTAGGTAGTAAAAATATATTATTAGATTTTTAATAAACTGCTGAATAATTATTATACAATTAACAGCTTTATGCACATCCAACAACTTTTGAATTGGCACATACGAGATAACAGCCTTAGAACACTGATTTAGGATACACCGAGGGTGCCTGGAAGTAAATTGTCGATCCAAGTCTTCAAAATCTGGGGATTACACTGTACACTGACAAATTAGTTTAAAAATGGCTTTGGAGAAGTAATCAACGCAGAATCCTTCGACATGTTAGACGATAAAGTATAACTAAGAGTAAAAATCAATTTACTAATCTCCGCCACTAAAACGACCCGGGATGTCGGCGACACAACACTCTAATTGCTGTCTGAACGCTATTATGGTGTGTGGAAATATTAAGAACGCTTATCCAGGTAAATCACTCTTCAAAATAGTGTAGAAATGTAATGAAAACTTCGACTGAATCATTCAGCCCAAACAATACAGCTAAGACGTAAAGGAAACGATAACAATTAGGAACGAGAGCATTGTAGTTAGTGTAGTGCGTCATTTCATGTCATTTGTGTGACCGTGAGTTTGACCACAAACGAAGGCTGTTACGTAGTGAAATCGGGCAAAGCTTGCGTAAGGACCGAGAAGCCTGGTGGTCGGAGCGTGCTAATGAGATGGAAGCAGCAGCTGCATCTGGTGACTGCCGGAAGCTCTTCCAACTCATTCGAGCCACTGGCAGCAAGAAGTCTGGTGTGAGTGAAACAATTTACGAGGATGACGGGATGCCAATCACTAACATCTCTCGACGTCTTGGACGATGGGCGGAATTTTTCGAAGGGCAGTTCAACTGGCCTGCTGCTCCGGCAACATCAACCAGTTTGTCCAGCCCCCCGTGACCGGTGACGATTGATCCACCAAACGAGGCGGAAGTCCGCAAGGAACTCCAACTCTTGAAACGTTACAAATCACCCGGCCGAGATGGCTTACCTCCGGCTCTTTCTAAAGATGGTGGTGACTTTCTGACTAAGGAACTGACGGTGTTGTTTGCAAAGGTTTGGGAGCTAGAAAGTGTTCCAACATCATGGAATGAGTCGATAGTCGTCCCTATCTTCAAAAACGGTTCACGTTGTTCTTGTAACAACTATTGGGGGATAAGTCTACTTAGGATTGCGTCCAAACTATTGGCTTCTGTCATTCTTCGTAGGTTGTTTAAAACCCGAGAACGATTGACTCGCGAAGAGCAGGCTGGTTTTCGTTCTGGTCGAGGATGCATTGATCACATCTTCACCTTCCGCCAAATGTTAGGACATCGTCATACTTATCGCAGGCCAACAATCGTAGTGTTTCTTGATATCAGGGCTGCCTTAGATTCGTTGGACAGGACTATTCTCTGGGATTGTCTATTAAAGAAGGGTGTGCCTGAGAAGTTCATTAACATCTTAAAGGCCCTGTATACGAACACCTTAGGCAGAGTGAGGGCATACAACCACCTTTCTCCCTTGTTCCATTCGAGCAGCGGGGTTAGGCAGGGTTGCCCGATCTCACCATTCCTCTTCAACTTTGCCATCGACGACATCCTGGAAACAGCTCTGACGGATGTAAGTAATGGCGGTGTGGATATGTTGCCTGAAGAACGACTTCTCGACCTCGAGTATGCGGATGATGTTGTCTTACTGTGCGATAATGCCCAAGGCATGCAATCCGCACTTAATCAGTTGGCAATCAGTGTCCGGAGGTACGGCATGTGCTTTCTACCCTCCAAGTGCAAAGTACTCCTACAAGACTGGCAGGATTCTCATCCTGTACTCACCCTGGATGGTGAGCAGATTGAAGTAGTTGAGAAGTTCGTGTATCTAGGTAGCTATATAAGTGCTGGTGGTGGCGTGAGTGATGAGATTGATGCACGTATAATGAAAGCCAGAGCGGCTTATGCCAATCTGGGCCATCTTTGGCGCCTTCGTGATGTTAGTCTGGCTGTAAAATGTCGGATCTACAACGCGTCGGTGAGAGCAGTTTTGCTCTAAGCTTGTGAAACCTGGCCTCTCCGAGTTGAGGATGTTAGACGTCTCTCTGTGTTCGATCATCGTTGTCTCCGAAGGATTGCTGGGCCAATAAGGACGCTAGATTACTCATACTAATCGAAAGTCATTGTCACAGTGTGAAGGTCGTAGAATTCGTATTCTATTGGTGGACAATTTACGCGAATTACGTCCTTGTTAAATTCGTAAGGTCATAAAGAATCAGCGACGACCTTGATCCAGTCATAACAATTGGCTACCGCCTAGGTCAAAAAACATAACAAATTGGCGACGGCTAGGTCAAGTCATAACACATGCAATCCGCACTTAATCAGTTGGCAATCAGTGTCCGCAGGTACGGCATGTGCTTTCTACCCTCCAAGTGCAAAGTACATGGTGACAACACCATGTTAGTAATGCAGAGGTTCGGCATCGTGTGTTCGGGTGCAGAGACGATAATCCAATTGGTGTCACCATCTTGAAACACCGACTTCGGTGGCTCGGACATGTTCTACGAATGTCGTCCCAGAGACTTCCACGTCGTGCATTATTTGCCGACTCTGGGACTGGTTGGAAAAAGCGGAGAGAAGGTCAGTGTATGACATGGTGTCGTGGCATGAAAGAAAGCTGCAAAGAGCTAGCTTCTGTTGGTCCTTAACGACTCCCTGGCTGGGGCCCGAGAAATGGTGTAACACAGTGGCTAGAGACGTTATCAGATATGGCTCAGAATAGAAGCCAGTGGCGTGCCTGCTGTAACCTTCTTTTACTTTCTTCATAAAGAGTGGTTCTAACTTTCTTAACTGAAAGAGTCTTCTGGTTGTACATTTCAGTCCGCCTTATCTTTTTATCCCTTCTCTTCCTATTTTCATTATTTTGTGTGGCGCATATGTATCTGGTGCCCTTTTGTACCAATATATGTGTTTAAATAAATAAATAAACGATAACAATAATATAGGAACTACGTACATTTGCACTTATTTGGAAGACATGATTATTCGTGAGAAAAGACAACTGTCTACATACATATAGATATACATATATACACATAATAAGACAATTTTTACCTTGAAGTCTTGGATGTGTTCATCGACAAGATTTGCAGCTTTGCAGACAATAACGCTTCGGCCTGATGTGTCTAAGTATGTTTTTATATTTTCGAAATGCTGTTCATGAACTGGGAAAGGCGTTTCGAAGTGGATATCGTCAGAGGTCTCAGGGAGAACAATTTTCAGTGTTAAGTTGCGAATGAATTGATTCTTGTAAACATGGTCGATAAACGGCATTACAAGAGCAAAGTTAGAACCTAGTAAAAGTAATCAGACAATCAAAAGCCACTTTGAAATGAGTAACTAAACTGTGGTTATCCACAGAAAAACTAAACTCTAACGGACATAATAGCAAATACGATTGCCTTAATACAATAATATGGATGATTATATAAATTTAGTTTATTTCTTGGAAAATAGGATTATTTAGACTGGCAGATCTGGTAAGTGCAACCACACTTGCATAATTCACTTCAAATATCTCCACGTGGATTTGACGGAAAAACTAATTACCATTTTATAACAATGGTGTGCGACAAACTTACCACTGTGATAGAGGAACTCATAGGCTGGGATGTTGTATCCTATTGTGTAGCGTGTTTTCCATCCACCCATCAACGGGAAGCGCGGAACAAGAGTTACTTCCATGGAATCTAGTAAGTTTTTAACTGTGCTTGTGCTTATATTGCCAATCTCATCGCGATAGTAAATGTCTTTTGCAGACGGTGGTAGAACTGTCTTAAGAGAGTTGACTGCAACCTGTTGTCCGATTCCATGGTCGAAATCTAAACGAGAAAACGAACCACGCAACTTTGCACCCGTGTTCACGATTTCAAGCGTCTCTTCAACAGCAATATTTCCCCAGTGCGATACCTCGATGAGACGAGTCATATCAGTGACCGTCAGGAATGGAACGTAGTACTCGAAATGTAGGACAAGTGGCTCCTAAAAAATTATTAGAGATAAGAAAACTCACCATCGAGAAGGCTGGACGGCTTTCATAAGCACCATAGACTAGATTATTTCCATTTGTGACAGGTGGGATTGACGTAGCAGTGTGAGTCAAGAGTTGACCCTTGGGCAAGTGGATGGACGTTAGCTGATTGTCAGTCAGATACGGAGAATAAAAGTAAGTATTGCCACTAAACTTGACGAACTGCTTATCAGCTTGATGAATCTCGGCAGGTCTTGGTTCTAACAATTCAGTTAATACATAGTCGACAAACAAATGAATTTGTTGGGTTGATGGTTTCCCAAGATCTAAAGAGTACGTATAAGGCATGCCGGCTTTTGGCTTTACGGAGACCTTTCGTGGTGACTTAGCGTCTCCATACTGAAGTATTAAAGTATGAAAATAATCCTAATTACCGATGCACCTATGAAGGCCAAATGTTTCCAGTCTCTTTCTTCAATGACAATTTGGTACTCGGCAGGTGTTTCACTGAGTAGAATATCATGATGTACCTTTACAATACTTCCCTTAAAGCGTATAGTACGAGTCACATTGATATTTCTCAAGCCTAGAGCAGGCACTACCAACAACAAGAAAAAGAAGAACATCAGTGACCGAAAACTAACGCCCAGCGAACAACTGGTGAGGTGGATGCATACAAACTATTATTAAATGTCCAATATTTTAGTTGCGAAAGAATATAAACTAAACAATTGCTTTGAACTCTCATCTCAGTACTCAAGTAGAGCCCAAAGTATTTAGAATTCTTTAGCAATCAATGACAGAAGCTTTACCAACAAATTAAACTGATCATATTGAATTCAACCGTTATTTTTCATTTTTATACCTTCAGTACTGGTAAATTCATTTTCTCTGGGAAACAGAGATTCTGTAATCAGTCACCGCCAGCTAATGCAAATCTACGAACGTTAGGTTTTAAAAAATTAAGGGTAGCGAAAAGGAATTTGATGGGTTAATGGAAATAAGAATTTGAAGGCTATAGTGGTAAATAATTTCAAAAATCAATAGCTCAATAAGTAATCGATATTTGGTGCTGACCATGTTAGTTTTACCAGACTCACCTAGCTGAAGCCGCTCGGCCACTCGTCCTCAACAGATCACAAGTGGGTACGCCATGCTACCCATCTACAACCGCTAGTCAGCTTAGATTAATCACTTCCCTATCAAATATATTATTGAACGATTCGATTTTAAAGGTTTGCTGGTTAACGCGTTGTCAAACTCCGAGTACACGTGGCATCTCTAAGGTCTTCTAGCACCGCTCACCAGCATTCTCCATCCAAGTCTATCCTGAGCCATCCTTTCCAGTTCTTTCAAGTTGCTATTCATCCTTTTCATATCTGCTTCTATTTCCCGGCGTAATGTGTTCTTTGGCCTTCCTCTTTTCCGCTTCCCTTCCGGATTCCAAGTAAGCGATTGCCTTTTAATGCACATTAGTGATTTCTTTAATGTATGTCCGATTCAATTCCAACGTCTTTTCCTAATTTCCTCTTCAGCTGGAAGCTGGTTCGTCCTCTCCCATAAAATGCTGTTGTTGATAGCATCCGGCCAGTGAATGTCGATTATTTTACGTAGACAACTGCTTATAAATACTTGTACCTACCTGATGATGGTTGTAGTAGTTCTCCAGGTTTCAGCTCCGTACAGTAGGACTGTCTTGACGTTCGTATTGAAGATTCTGACTTTGAAATTAGTTGACAGTTGTTTGGAGTTCCATATGTTCTTCAATTGTAGAAATGCTGCCCTTGCTTTACCAATCCTCGCCTTTACATCTGCATCCGATCCTCCTTGTTTATCAACGATGCTTCCCAGGTATGTGAATGTTTACACCTCTTCCAGGGCTTCGCCATCAAGTGTGATTAGGTTGGTGTTCTCCGTGTTGCATTTGAGAATCTTGCATTTTCATTTGTGTATGTGGAGGCCTATCGATGCGGAGGCTGCTGCTACAGTTGCTGTCTTTATCTACATTCGTTCGTGTGTATGAGAGAGGAGGGCTAGGTCATCTGCGAAGTCCAAACCCCATGCCCAAACCTCCTCCTTTACCTGGGCTTGAGACTGACAGTAACTATAGAAGAGCTGCAGGCGGAATTATAAGTTATCTAGAGCAATGACAAAAACACTCACTCCAGACTGAATCGACTGTCACACGCTGGCGGCACTGCAAAAAGGCGGATGTGGGATTACGAAAGCTAAGAGCCAATAACAAAACTTCTTTGGCTTTTGAAGAAGTTTGGTTAGGCAGTGTAAAAGTAATGACGCGTGACATGTATGTAGATCAACAACGAAAGATAATCCCATAGTCATTAAGACGAAAAATCCTCCAAGTTATGAATAATATATCGCACCCTGAAATGAAATCCATAACCAAACTTTTCAGCAAACATTTCGTATGATTAAACGTGAACCAAGACTTTTGTAATCAGACACAGTCATGCATGCAATGTTAAAATGTCAGAGCCGATCGTTCTGTCACCCCGGCACTAGATTTGAACATACATACATCGATATCATGGGACGAACGCCCGATTTCGAATGGCTAAAACTATATTTTTGCCTTCATCGATTGATCCAGGAGGTGGCCTGTGGCTGTGCCGATAAGGGACACCTAAGCCGAGACTGTAGCTAAAACCTCAGTTGCTAGTCGGGTTTTTTGTTATGTACTGCCGGCGAATACTAAAACAGATAGAGGAGCTGGAATCGAAAATCTCCTTTTCTAACAGCTCACAGAACGTATCGTAATTAAATGTATTTGCACCATATCTTACCATCCTATGGCGAATGGTATGGTTGAGCGATTGTATCGGTAATTAAAAGCTTCTCTCATGACTGTCTGTGTCAACAATGATTGGGCCAATGTGCTTCCTATGGTCATATTAGGTTTGGGAACATCAGTTAAGCAGGATATCAGATGCTGTCTCGAAGAGTTGGCCTGTGGAACTACTCTTTGTTTACCCATAGAATTTTTCTCCCCAAGTGAAAGTATTCCTACTGATGTGGCTAACTAAGTACAACGTATAAAGGAGCCAGTGAATAATTAAAAAAATAACACTGCCTAGACTACTGTGACGACGAGTATATGTACGGTAGGAGCTGGAAATGGCATTAATGTACAACCTCCTTTGCAGACGAATTATGACGGTCTATTTAAAGTGGTTGTGGACGATGATAAAATAATTAGTATAGAAAAAGCTGGAAAAACGGACCCAATTATTGTCGACAGAGTTCGACTAGCCCTCAATGAAAGCGGTGATCAATCAGCAAACACAAATCATTCAAAAACCGTCAAATCACCGAAACATAAGTAGCGGTCGTCAACTACGGAGATTGAGAAGAACGAAGGGACTCCAGTAACGATGAAATGTGGTCGAAGAGTTAAATGGTCACAACGGTGCATAACCACGATTTTGAATTAAAATTTTCACCCGATGTTTTTAATAAAAATGTCTTTTCTTTCCCCTCAGTTTTGCACGCACGCATCGTAAAGCTTACATCGTTTGTCAAGTAATTGGTCATATTTTGCACACTTCTACGTTTATATGCATTATCTTCTGGAAACTCTACCATATGTTTTTGTTACTTTGTCAGTATTTAATCAGGTCTGATGAACGCACGAGAACTCAGACATACAAGAGCAAGTATTGGCGTACACGATAATTTTATTCTATACTTTAATTTAAACAAACCAAAATTTTCTGTGTGTCAAGATAATTTTGTCCAGTTTAACATTATTTGTAAATACACTTTTTAGATCGCGATTTACAGGAAAGAGATATTACAGCGTCACACCTACGCTTAGCTCTGTTCAAGTCCTTAAAGTAATTTGTTCAACAGTGTTGTTCGGACAGTAACAATTAACTTATTTTCATCATGCCTTTATGAAAATGCATGCCTTATCACATGTTACAGTCTACACACATATTACCCTTGTTAGCTTAGATGTCACTCGCTTAAATCGCTTGATGATCCAGTCGCCTTACCATATATTTGCTTGGATCTTATCAATTCATTCTACTCTTAATTCGCCTTCGTATTCTCTCGCTTTCATTTACTTGCATTTTTATTGCTACTTGTATTCATTTTATGTGCTTGGAGTCTAATGGTCTGTGTTGTACAATAACAAACTGTTGTCAACGCTCCGAGTTGTTCTGTGAAATTATTATTAATGGCTTTAGTCAATATTATAATCTGGTACAATATAGAATTCTTAGAACGAGTTATTTCAACAAGTTTTTTTTACCAAAAACAAAAAAAACAGAAAAAAATTGAAAAGAAGGCTTAAAAAACCGAGTCTGTATAAATTATCAAATTTTAGACATGCTTAAGAATACAAGTTATTTACTAGGTCAACTCTAGCAGCCTGTTCGTCGCAAAGTAAATTTGCTAGGTAAGGTATTACAGAACTTTTATAGATTTGCTTGCGTGTATGGATTTCAATGTATTTACGTCTCGTTCTACCAGAAGATATACAAGGAGAAAGATATAAATGAAGTTGATGGTTAGTATCTGATAAAATAACACCTGCCAAGAGTTTGCAAGACTTAAGATGTCTATCCACAAGCATATTAATAATGACTTCAAAAGATTCACCGCACACCTTGCAAACTGCCTTCAGCACTCTCCGCAAAACAGCAGTCTATTCTCAAAAGCCCGGGAAATAATAATGGAGAACAATATAGGATAATAGGTAATATGCAGGGATTTACAAAGTGTAAGAGTAAGTAGCGAGTAATCCCAAAAAGCATACAGCCTGTTCATGTAGTAAGTTAAACGGTAAACTTTTTCGATAACAGTAAAACACGAGAAGACCAAGAAAGATCAGAGGAAAAAGTGACACAAAGATATTTGACCTTCGACACTGTGTTTATTAAAGAGTCTCCAATGGCACAAGCATTATGGGATCCCAAAATAGTGTATAGATTCTGTCCATGTCTCAAGCTAAAGTTAACAGCTTGACATTTAGATAGATCAAATAAGACACCATTACCAACAGACCACCTTTAAATACGAGATAAAGACTCATTCACTTCTATGGGATGTAAGGAGGTAGAAATCGGCATACATACAGTGAGGCAGATAATGTGACGTCGAGCTTTATCTAATAACGGTTATCAGGACGAATGATGTACGAAGTCTTAGGTATTAAATTGAAAATATTCTGCTACGCATTGATTAGTGGACAGTCTAACACACATCGTCTATATTAAGAATAACTAACACGGACAGAACATTTGTATACTATTGACTGGAAGATGTTGTAGGAGCTCCACTCTCTCTAACACTTTCTTATCAGCGAACCTCTTCAGTAACATCATGTTTGTTCTATACGATCATCCATGTGGCCAAAACGCCTGGATATCATGAGAGGTTGATCCTCATTAAATATCAATCGCAAGGTGTGACTCTGTGACGACATAGGTTGATTGGTTATGGGTTGACCGCAAGTATCCAGGCAAATGTCAGAACATCAAAGCTCAAGTGCTCGTTCACCCCTTATTTTGCATCGGGATTATATTACCTGTTATTTTATATTGAATTTTGAAAAGCTTTGTGTTTGAAAAGGTAACTTCGCGTTCCACCACATCTTCCA